CTGCTGCTGGCAACTGCAAGCATGGACGGAACAGTCGGCTCCATGAAGTTTATTCGGCTCATTACACTTTACGGCATTATCTAACCATAGCAGAGCCCCAGGTCCAGATTTGGGATGCCAAGTCCATGGACCTCCGGTGCACCATCAAGGCACAGACCCGTAAGTCCGAGCAGGTGCAAAATCCGAAACCTGCAGAGGACCACTTCGAGAAGGGCGGTATCGTCCTGTCCTGATTTCTTTTCTACTCTTGGATGAGGCCTATGTTGAGACGGCCCTCGTGTGCGGTTTGATAATCTGTGTGCCATGCTCACACAGAGGAATGCACAAGCTAAAAGATGCTGTCAGCACTGCCGATGGTCAGACTCAATACACTTCCATTTGAGAAGCAACACTGCTCGCGGAGCTGTCTTTAATGTAGATGGCAGGCGGTCTGTTTGCATGTTTGCACAGCAGATATTTCAAGCGAAGCAAGAGTGTCGCATGGTAATTGCCGATTCAGGTCAAACTGAAGTGGCTGCCGGGATCAACGTTTGGGAACTGGTGAGCTCCTGAGTCAGCCACGGTTGTCCGCAGCTTTGACAGTTGCGAGCCTACCTTGACCGCGACCAACGCTCAACTAAAAGGTCTCCAGCCGTTTCTGCTTCATCCCACAAGGAGTCAGCACTGAGCAAAATCCAGCACCATCCACGCGCACATGGATACGCACTATTGATTCGGCACGGCCACCGCGTGGCCAGTAGATTTGATGTTGTGATGTCACGTTTGCATTTCGAGATGGAACCACCACCAGCTCGGCCACCAGCTGCTCCACAGGCTTGACTGACTTGACGTATCTTGACATGCTGGGGCATCGGGTAGAGTGGCAGGGCCTGGGTTTCAAAGCCGCGCTGGCTTGTACCGTTCTGACAGCCTTGTTCGCAGCCCAGATTATCTTTGCAGGGTTTGCTGTAAGCCTTGACAAATGTTCGTTTGCAAGGAGTCTGGTGGCATTGTGGCGAGCAGACACATTGGAGGCCTAAGCCGCAAGCTGATGGCAAGCTGATGCCGTTTGGGTTTCCGGTAAAAGAGCCAGGCAGATCTGCTACCCCGCCTCCAGACGGTGGAGACGAGGCAGCGCGAGGCTGAGCACAAAATTGCGGAGCTGGAGGAGCTGCGATTTTGATGTGGGACAGTTTCTTCACGCTACAAACTGTTTGGGTAAGTGTTGGTAACTCTTGACCGTTGCAGCCGGTGAGGCAGCAGGAAGTTTGTAGCATGAGGTCTCACCATGTATGTGTTCGCCTCAGCAATCGAGCGAGGGAGCTTACAGCTCGGGTCATGCAGGAGGACAAGCAGCTTCTCACACGCGCAGTGCAAGCAGAGAGTCGCCTGGAAGCGGGGGCCCGCAGTGTTCTGATTCTGTCAGCGGGCTGAGCCTTGTCTTCCAAGGCTGTGAGAGAGGAGTTGGACCGGGTATATGCGCAACTCCAGGCAAACTCATTTGTTTTGGTTCAGCTTCGCAGTAATTCACGACTCGGCAGGGCAAGAAGTACACAAAGCGTACGACCACAACTCTGGCCACCACCACCACCACCAAGCCTGCAGGCAAGCAGGATCCCCCCATTGCCAGGGACTTTATACTTCTGCAGCCTGCAGTCGGGCAGATTTGCACATGACAACCGAGGTCTACAAGGATTGCGGCGAAAAAGAAAGGCAAGAGCTCTGCATGTTGCGGACTCAAGTCAAAGCTGTTGTGGTATAGCTCTTGATTTCCAGACCTCCCAGGCTGGCGAAGGATGATGACGAGCTTGCGAAGCGGAGCAAAGTCTGTGCCCAGAGCTCCATCTCAATTGGGCATCTTGGCCGTGAAAAGGCTTTCAGGGAGTGTCTACATGAAATAGTCCTTCAATGTAAACTTCGCTGACGAATTTGCCGCTAAGCTGCTTGAGCGTCAATCAGGTTTACGATCACCCTGAAGCAAGACAAGTTTGCAAGCTGCCTGCAGGCGGATGGCGCCTTAATGAATCCTTGAGCAACTGTGGAGATGCTTTCGCATGAGAACGCAGAGTTGTACGCGCAAAGGCCATACCCGGGTTGTCCGAAAAATGCGCCATGTGTCAGCCTGTCTGCAAGAAGACAGCCAAGTACCATCGCACAGTGCATTTCCACCTGCCTCAGGCTTTGCTGGCACAGCTGACTACGGAGTCCGAAACTGCAAGGCCATTCCTGCCTTTTGATCATCTTCGCTTCAGTCCTGTCGCTTCGTAGTGTTTCTGTGTGTTCTCACGGCATTGCGGCCAGATGTCATGTCGAATACCTTCTCCGAGCTGCGACAAATGCATGCAGGGCCATGCCGAGGCTGCTTCTTTCAAGCCTTCTCCAGGGCTTTGAGATTAGTAGCTATCGCGGAAGGATGCAAAACGCTGTATGGGCTTCATGATGCCCGGTTACGCCCTACCTGATCAATGCCCCGCAGGCGCGTTGCATATTGTGGCTTTCATCTGTCGACTTGACTCTCACGTTTGCTGACTGCAGAACTACTTGGCGGTTGAAGGCTTGATGCCTAGGCTTGCGCCGTGCTCTGTAGCTGTAACATGCTGTGAGTCTCGCCATCCTTTAAGTGCCTCCCAAAGTGCGCGCAATGGCGATGTGAAGTCAAATGTTCCCTGCACCCTTGAGACCGGCCTCCAGAAAGGAGGCACCACTCACCTTCTTGTTTACCCAGCCCAAAGTTGGCCGGCCTTTGTTCCGAAAAGTGCTTCCAACATCCTGCTTGAGGATGAGCATCGATTTTTCTAGATGAGCCGCGTGTATTCAGTGTTCTCCATGAGGTTCTGCACGTGCTCGACTGACAAGACCGTGAGACTGCAGCTAGCTAAGAGGGTTCGGCTAATTTAAGCTTGCTTTGTTTGAAAAGCTAGGGGGACCCATTCTCAGCCCTAGGTTCAATGGCTTGTCCGGTGAATGCCTCCGAACGCTGCAGGCCTGTCTGCTCAGAAACGAACTCAGTGCAGGATGGTCAAATGCTCGCGAGTCAGGGCCATTCGGAGACTGTCTTGGGTTTGGACTTGTCCTTGGGTGAGGCAGGTGGGTGGGCGGGTACGGTTGAGCGGTTGAACGCCTGCCTTCTGAAGCTGCGCCTTGCCACCCTGGCTGCCAGGTGAATGGCAAGCCACAGCTTGTTGTGGCTTCTGCATCCGAGGTCGGCGGCATGTCAGAAAACAACAGAAAAGCTAGAGTCGAAGAAGCCTGCAGGTGAGACGACTTTTCAGACTTTGCGGTATAACCGAAGAAGCAAACCTTTCTGGCACTGCATGACTGCGTGAATTCTGTCGACCAGTATGAGCTGGAAGTGGCAAGGGGCGGTGAGTCTCCGACGGGCATGGCCTTGATGTGAGGCTTGTCCAAAAATTCGTACCCAAAACTTAGGGACACAAGAAGCAAGAATGCTGCTTGCGAAAGCATTGCGAACGGGATCCGAAAGGGGTCCGAACAGCTTCCCTTTCAGGGTTTTGGATAATGTTTGTTGCACATCTCAGTAAAATGCTGCGGAGGAAAGCGCGCGGAAGGTCTGCGGAAGGGGCGACGAAAGGGTTGTTTCTGGGAAAAAGATGGAGAAGGAATACTGGACAATCCTCATATGGAAAGTGAATCAAGAGCACCATGTTGAGACAAAAAAAGCTGTGCACAGTAGGAGCTCTGCCTCATAGCTGGTCTAGCAGGACAAAAGCAGCCGGATATTCGTTGTGGCGCTGGTGCCTCAGCGACCTGGATGCGATGTCAGTGATGCGGGCGTTTGGCTTTCCGGACCAGGCTGTGGACTGCTGGTGCTGAGGCCGTGCTCAAGCCTTTCATATGAAGTGAAACATGTTGAGCCCTTCCTATGAGGCCGGCCCGAGTATGTGAAGAGCTTGGGCTGACTTGTTGCTCCACCCCTCTATTCTTCCACTCTTCCGGTCCGAGCAGCCAAGGACACCCACAGGTGGCTACAACCCAATCGGCTTGCCCAATGCTCAGCCAACCTTCCCAGCTGCCACCTGCGTGCTTCTCCTTCTGAGGCCAACTGCTTCATATGGCTTGCCGTCGCCGGCGCTGCAGGTCCAAACAGCAGTTTCTCTCAGTCCAGAAAAGGGAGCATGCTGCGAGCTATGCTCTTGCTCAGGCAACTGGCGCCGGCTTGGAGGCGCCAAAGGAAGCAAGCCAACAGACGGCCGCTCGGTTGCCCAAATGTGCTCTAATACAGGATGCATGAGATACTTGGAATTTCCGACATTGCACGCAGTCCAACCTGCCAGGCAACTCCCACTGCAAGTCCCGGTGAGCTCGCCGCCAAACAAATGTCTGGGGGTTGCTGACGCTTTGGCGCATTTCCTGCCTTTTGAAGACTATGCCCCCTCAGGCCAGTCACACCGTGCGTGTGCCCGCCGTACTTTTTGTGGGCAAGAAGAGAAAAGCCGGGCTCTCTCTCTGCACCCGGAATGCAGATCTTGCCAGGGGCAATCACCGTCGCACATGCCGGTCTAACTGATGTCATGAGATCGCCGCTGACAGCCCGTGTCTTAAAAAGCGCGGCAGCAGCTGCTGCGCCTGTACAAAAGAAGCGCTGCTGTACCATCCTGTATCAAACTCGCCTCGGCAAAGGCCGTCCCTTTATCTCAAAAGGAACTCCATTCCAAGTAATTAAGCAAAAGACAGCTGAGTTGTATGCAGGATCTAGCAGATAGCCGCAGCTCCTGAATCACAGGAGCTTCGTATCGGGTGCGGTAGAAGCCTCCGTGCCTGCTGGTGCCAAAAGCATTCTAAGTTCTTGTGACGCGCCACTGCCTGTTCTGACGAGCCTCCGCCACCACTGGTGTTAGCATAATGCAAGGTCTTCAATACTGTCTTTGGAAGACCGAGCAACACATCCCAAGTACTTCAGAGGTGCAGATCCACAGCTAGCGCCTTTTGAGGGCTCCCTTCTATGATGCCCACCGCAATATGTGGTCACACTCCATGGTCATGGGACTTCGCCTGCGCAGGAAATCGAGGTCATGATTGAACATGCAGACCGCGATGGCAAAGGCTTTGTTACTGCAGAGGACTTGGCACGTGCACTTGTTGGAGCTGTAAAATGATGCTATGACAACGCTGACTGCAGCAGTTGAACTTTACATACCAGTGCTCCCTCCAGGATTTCTACGTGCTAATGGCTGATGAAGCACGACGGGTGGACCAACCCTTGCGGTTCTGTGGCAAGCTTTGCAAGTTACGTACTTAAGCTGCGCATGCTTAAGTCGACCAGGCGAGCTGCAAGCCACGTCTTTTGCATTCTTTAACTCGTTTTGGAATGGGGACGCAACGAGGTGCTTGGCCAATGCAAGTAGACAATGCCGTGGAGTTGTGTTGGGCATTCCAGGAGGTATTTCCGTTTCCGCCAGCTCCAAGACCGAGCCATGTCGGCTTCAATCGAGTACTCGTTGAAAGGAAATTAAGCTCGGTGTCTGATAGTACGTGGCAGAATCTTACATGTACTGGGCTTTCATGAGTCAAACAGTTGTAGCGCGGCCGCAAGCCTGTGCCAGAGGTGCCTGGTAGTGCCAGGTAAAGATGGTAAAGGTAGGCACAGAGTCTCCTCTGCATGATGCCATCGGCAAACACCTGCACTGGATGACAATTTGCCACATGTGCAAGTAGCAGCTATTTGCTGAATTTGGCCTTGTGCCAAACCATGACATGTGGCGCCGCTTGACAGTCTCGTCGCGCGCGCTGCGCCACCTGGCTACGATGGGGGGAAAGAAATGACATGAAGTGCTTCGTGTGCATGCGTGTGGTTCTTTCTGCATCCTCGAGGATATGGGGGCTATGGGGCGGCTGTGGGCGCCTGTGGGGCTGCGGCTGCAGGCAACCTGGCCACAAATGGCTTGCAGCAGACCTTACCGTGATTTCTGCATCATTCGGATCATGCAAGGCCTTGCGCTCTACAAGACGGACTCTAGCTTCCAGCGCTCGGTGCGCTTTTGGCAGATGACAGGCCCAATCGTTGCGGCCTCAGTCTCATTTGACCAGGTACAGTCACGGGATGTCACCGGACTGCTGCATTCCAGACCTCTTCTGATTGCACGCGAATTGAATACGGCAAGGTTGCTCACTACTTTCTGGAACGCTGGCGGGCTCTTGATGAAGTAGACCGTGACGAGCGCTATAAGCGCCTGCATCGCCTTTATGCAGCAAGAGCCAGGGAAGTGGTGGAGGACGAGCTTGCAGTATCTTGTGTCCTTCGAGGATCCTAGGTACAGCAGGCTAACCATGTGTACACTGAGCTCACATACTCGTACAGCTCAGCAGGAGCTTCGAGGGATGTTTGTCAAGGCTACTCGGTCAAAGGTTCTGCAATTGCAGTGTCCTTGCTTCTACAAGCTGTATGCCTGTCCGCAGTGATCATTTCAGTTGCCAGTCACTCTCTGAAAGGTGGCCCAAGTTCTCAGTGTGCGGCCAGAGGCAGCAACTATGTCATTCTGATGAAGGCAAAGTCCTGTCAGTTGCTAGGCAGTACCCGAAGAGTACCGTGTCGAATTCCGAAAGCGCGCGACTCAGCAAGTTGCTGTGGATTTGTAGCTGACAGTCGTCTGCTATGCGGCTGTTTGCAGCGGCTGTGGTAGTGGCGAAGGCTTCAGGACATGGCGCCAGCTGCTCGATGGGAACCTATCCGCCAGGCGCCCATGCTTCCTGAAGCTCACGGAAGAAATCTAAGTTGGGTGTTCTACAAGGTGCAGTGCTGGAACGAGACCTGGGTGCATCAATAGCAGAGGCATGGCTTCTGTAAAAGCAAAGGCAACATCTTGATTACTTGGGAGTCCACAGCATGCTTCTGCCATCGTGCAGTCATTGGCTCAAGCCTAAGGACCTCAAAGCTGTATGACACTTCACAAGGATCGATACTACGTAGAAGGAAACATCAGCCGCACAGGAGTGACAGCGCTTGACTGTTAATTACTCGAGAGCCTTCGGAGCATACAACTCGACTCTATTACATTGCAGAATTTGCACCATGCCAAAGCACGTGCCAGAAAATGGAGCGGTGACTGCTCCGTGACGGTCTACTGAGTGCATCTCGGTCAAAGTTGAGCCAGGGCACTGTGCAGCTCTGTGGCTGGCTAGCAGCTGTTGGCAAACCTGTCCCATCTCCATGCTGCTCTGAAGTGGCCGTGCTTCGGAAGAGACGTTCAATGACGCCCTGTCCAGGTTTGTGGAATGGGTGAGCCATTTCGTTTCGATTGGAAGGGAAGTTTGGCGCCAGAGCGGCGAGGCGACGTGTTTGACATAAACATCTTCTCCTCCGAATTCGTTTTGAATGCTTCGCTAGACAGACATGGCATGCTCCGCCCTGATAGTGCTGGAGATTACTTTGCGAGGCGTTCCTGATCATGCTTGGCATTTGGATTGGAAAGCAAGCTTGATTCCGGTGCAGCCGCTGGAGGAGCGCAAGTCGAAAGCAGTTTCAGAATCAAGTCCACACCTCCTACACTGTCCTACACATTGCGCGCTGCAGCCCGGCAGGTCAGAAACACCTTCGTGCACGTTCAAGAGGAGGATGAACAGCCAGACCCAGTCAGACGGTGTGGAGACTTCCTGGGGCTTTCAGGGCATCACCAGCTATGTTTGCGTTGAACCATTTGGCCTGAGGCTGGTGTCATCTGCTACCAGAAGTCGGAGAACTGCATCGTCTCCACCTGATCTGAGGACGTCCAAGAGCAAGGTAGCGTTATGTAGCGTTAAACGAAGCACTCGGTGGCAAAGCTGTTCTCCAGGACACCCGCGGAGGCGGATTTTGGGGCTGCAAAAGGAGAAGGGAAGGAAGGGAAGGTGGGGACATGGTGGGACCTTCACCTCCAAGCTTAAGCGCTTCAAAAGCTGCCCTGCTCCTGGCACTGGAGGTCACCGCTTTGCCAGAGGCGAGCCTCACGGCAAGCCTCACCGCCTCTGTCATGGATGGTGATGCAGCCCAAATCTTAGGGTCCATCGCATGAGATTGTAACGTGCTTAAGTTGGATTGGACTGTCCAGCCGCCGTCAAGGAGAACGAAGATTCAGGAGCTTCGCAGTCGCCTCAAAGCTTTGCCATTTGTCTCTTTCGATGCAGAGCACTCCTAGCATCTTCTGGTCTCTGGTCAGGTGTTCGACAGAAGCTCCAGAAGCTCCTGGTGCTTACGTGACGAGAACCAGCTCTGCATCAAGCCAGGCTTCCCGTGCAAACCGCTCCGTTTAGACATTAACAGAGCACTTTGGATCATGCGGCGCACCTGTCTTAATCTCACTCAGCAGCAAACGGACCGGAGGTGGCAGCGCATGACCCTGGCACTTGCCGCCCGTGTGCTTACTACCGCACCAAGGCGCAGCTTGCTGCGAATGTCTTTGCCGCAGCACCTTGCCTGCGAGGCAGATGGTTGCCAGAAGGGTGACGCGTGCGAGTTCTGCCACATTTGCACGTTGGACCGGGCGGCAGTCTTGAGTTCATGCACACATCAATTTCGCAGCCTCCGTCCTGTTGGCTAGATCTCGCCCTTCGAAGGACGACGTCCGTGCCAAACAGACGCTTTTTAAGCGGCAGGCTATAGGGGGTCTGTACTTCGGCAGAGTTCTTCAGTGCCCCTTCTCAGTGAGGCTCGAGCGCAAAAGCGTGCGGCTGCCAGCAAAGCCCGGGCGGCACAAAGCACGCCACGCCAAGTAACTGGACTTCAAGTGGGTGAGGTGCGAGACGGCTTGCCAATAACACGCTTCTAAAACTGAGGATGGCTCGAATCTGCCTGCTGAACTTACACGTGGTGGCCGATGTCCCTAGTGTGAGCAGGTATTTGTTTCAAGTTGCTTCGCGCATTGACGCTGTGACTAGCGCGACCTGCAACCTGCACCATCCTGCAGCTCGCACAAACCTCAAAATTGCTACCATAGACTCCCCGCACCTTCTTGCATCCGCTTGCATCCGCTCGCATCCAAGGCCTCAAATAGCATGACTACTCTGCGTTTGCAACGGGAGGCTAGGCCTTGGGGGATTACAGTATGACATAGGGAGCAACAAGTGATCAGAACCAGGCCAAAACTTGTATCCGTGAACCGTGGCCTTGAACAGTGGAGGGTTCCATTTGCTAATAGGTTTCTAAACCCAGCTTTTGGGGATCATGCTCATCTTCTTTGTTGCTGCCGGGCTCGGCTCAGAATGCACCTTTTGCATTGTACCCTGTCAACGAATTTCCTCAAGTTTAAGGATGCCTTAGGCGCGCGCTGCTTAAGGGGAAGCTGGGGAAGGAATACAGGTTCCATTATGGGGGTTGTACTGGGAGGAGTAAGTAAGAGGAGAACGCAGACAATGATGACTAGCTAAGGCTCCCCATGTTTCCATGCTCTGTCCAACTCTAGGCGAGAGAGGACATTGGGTTGAACCTTGATTCTATGGCGGATTCTAAGTCTACATGAGTTAGGGCGGGATCATGCCGGGTGATGTAGGGTGTGTTTCGGGAGTTGATCGCAAAACATACAGCCTTGCATCAGTAAAGCAGAGATGATTCATGAGGCTAAGACCCTTGACTGGTGTAGAAATCCTTGGATGCTCTTGCTTTGAAGGAGGCACTGCCGTGCTCAAAGCAAGCTGGTAGGTTCCTCTTGATGCACGCTCTCTAATCTCTTCCCCCTTATATTAAAGGGCTCGCCGCCCCCCCCTTCCCCCCCCCTTTAGGTTTATACCCCTAACTCCGAACCCTTTTTACCGTGTTTAATATTCGGGTGGTATTTATCGCGCGACCCGAACATTAGGGCGGGTAAATAATGGGGTCCTATTGAAATCTGAGTATAATTCGATTAAATTGAAATGACGGAATATTAGATTAGGGACTATTTCAAATTAGGGTCTTACTAGGGACGACAAATTATGGCCAAATTCGGGACTATTTCAAATTAGGCTTTTATCAGGGACTATTTCAAGTTAGGGCCTTGTAAGGGACTGTTTCAAATTAGGGATTTCGGGCCTTTAGGGACAGTTTCAAATCGGGGCCTTGTTAGGTACTATTTCAAATCAGGGCCTTAGGGACTATTTCAAAGTAGGGCTTCATTAGGGATTATTCCAAATTTGGGGCCAATGAGGGACTGTTCCAAGTTAGGGCCTTGGATTGTTAGTATACAAATTTATGCCTTTATAGAACGCATTGAAACACAATCAAAATCTAGGAAATCAAGG